ATCTGGACTTATATCTAATCCATTGGCCGCTCGGCTATCAGGAGGGAGAGGAGAAGTTCCCGAAGAACGCCGCCGGAGAGGTTCTGGTCAGTGATGTTGACTTCGTTGAGACATATCTGGGTTTAGAAGATTTGCTCAAAACATCGAAAGTCAAGTCAATCGGTGTCTCAAACTTTAATTCACAACAAATCGATCGCATTCTTAAGGAGGCGACTGTCAAACCGGTGGTCAATCAAGTGAGTCCTCAATACATGCTCTGTATATGTCTTGTCTGGAGTGACACTCGATATGATTGATCTTTTAGGTCGAATGTCATCCATATCTCAATCAAACAAAACTGATTGAATTCTGTCGTCAAAAGGATATTGTGGTCACAGGTATTGATAAAAACCAAACCCATTGGAGACCAGATTTGTAAATGTTATGTTGGAATTGATTTGTTCACAGCTTACAGTCCATTGGGCTCACCTGATAGGCCGTGGGCTAAACCCGAAGACCCCTCTCTACTGGAAGAACCAAAAATCAAAGAAATCGCAAAGAAGTATAACAAAAGCAGTGCTCAGATACTGATCCGATTCCAAGTGGAGAGAGGGGTTGCCGTCATTCCCAAGAGTGTGACCAAAGACAGAATCGCTTCCAATATCAATGTGTTTGACTTCCAGTTGACTCCCGAAGACTTGGTCACAATCTCGGCCTTTGATAGGGGACACGAGGGACGGATCATACACTTGGGTTGGAACGGACCCAATGTAGTCGACCACAAACACTATCCATTTAAGACCCCCTTTTAATGGCACAAAATGTAATACATATTTACCGGTGTTTTTAGGGTGAATAAAATCATGACTATTTTTATAATTAAATTTAATGATTTTATTGTGATTTGAAAATAAAATTTAATACTTTTGTGTTAAAAAATGTTAGTTATTTTTGTTTTTAAAAATATCTTTATATTTGGGTCTAATAATTGATTTAATGAATGTTTGATTCAATTCTATATACAAATTGTATGCTATATATTAGTGATAATCGTTTTGTTAAATTGAATATTTATTGTTTAAATAGAAAA